TTTCTGAACAACATTTTCAGTGCATGCTGTCTGTCATCTTGCTGCTTTTCTGAATGTGTTGATTGAAGAGTGGGTGGCTAGGTAATATTTGTGTTGGCACAGAACCCAACGGCTGATTTTATTTTTCAAAATATGTTTTGAACCTCCCAGAGATGTAGACCATCCCATGGAAACTTTTCTTCCCCCTATAATTCTGTTTTCTAAAAAGTGTGTACTTTAATAACTTATCAGAACAAAGATAAACCCCACGGACGGCAAGCTATTTACATCACTCTGAATTGATTTTCGATCCTTGTCGAACATCCATTTTTACCAGTTTGGATCCGTGCAGGCATTCTATTTAGTATTTAATGTTTTCCCATAGAACATTATTTCTTTTATAATATATAATAACTTGATAACAGTAACTCACATTTCAGCTGCATTTTACAGTTTACAAAGCTCTTTTTATGCCTTATCTCAAGCTTCCTATTGTATTGTTCGATAATGTATTGCATGAGCCAGGGCTGCATAAAGAAAGAAGGAAAAAAAAAAACAACTAACAAACCCCTGGGTCCAAGTCCTGCATTTGAAATAACAAGCTCTGTGATCCTGAACAGTGCTTTGCTTCCTGGAACTGGTTTCCTTCTCAGCGAAATAGGCAAGAGGAGGAAGCCATGAGAATGAGTAGGTGGAGGGCCCCGCGGGTCTAGCCTGTAGTGGGTACAAATAATGATTCTTTTCCCCCTTCCCCACCTTTTTTTTTTTTTTGCAATTATAAATAACAATCTCTAGTTTTCAAATTTTTAGGTGACCCTTGATTTTCCCATTATGTTTCTGTGTGCCCGCAATTGATTTTTCCTCCCATGAGCTGTTTCCTCCTGAGAGCCTCCATTGACCCTATAGGTGAAGAATGTCATGTTCTACCATGAAGTATTAATTGTTCACTAAACTTTGATTAGTTTATAAATTCCAGATCAAGCAGGAAATTCTCAGGAATTCTGAAACTATGTTTCCTGACTATTCAAAAGTAGTAATCTCTTCCCACCCAAGCCTCAGAAACAGAAAACTTAATCCGGTTAGATAACACAGATGTGAACATATAATTATCTCTGGGAGACAGACAGATGGGGAGAAGGCAGACCCTTTGCAATGTTTATTTGTTCATTCATTTATTCATTCACTCATTCATTCACATGAGTATTCAGTAAACATCTGCTGAGTGTTGAGTATGTGTCGAGCAATGGTGAAAACATTAGCTGTTGGGGGAAGTTTATGGAGAAGATACATTTTGGGAGAAAAATCAAAAAGTCAAGTTGATAACAACACCTGTTTTATTTTAGTTGATGGCATCTGTTATCAAAAAAGAAAACTTAAATGAATATAGTTATGGCAATCTCTTAAGAACAGAATTGAATTAAAACAGAAGGTAAACTGAGTTTTATTTTATTATCCTCAGTCAAGACAAGTCTAAAATGGCAGCAGCCCAAACCATTTTAGACCTGGACCAGGCAGCTCTTAACTTTGACCCCTCTCCCACTCCCTTGATTTTCAGGAGTTTGGTAAACTCAATGCATAACGGTACAAGATGATGTGAATTTTCACTTTTCTGGATTTCATAGCTGACCTCAAGTTTTCAAATTGCAGACCTCATAGAGCTAAGGCCCACCAACTTCCATGCAAACAGACCTTCAAATATTTTTTTTGTTTTGTTTTTTAAAGATTTATTTATTTATGCATGTAGAACTGGGGTACAGGCCAGAGCTGCAGGGGGTGAGAGGATTCACCAGAGACAGGTTGGGGAGCAGAACAGGTGGATTGACTGAAATACTTAATGTAACACGGGAGTGACTCACCCACATCCACAGAACACTTTAGAAGCCATTTTATGAGTGCTGTAAAGTTTTTTGCCTATAAATTAGTTTACTAATTAGTTATTAGCAACTAATATCAATCAATGAAATATTTTTTATGATTAATGACATTAGGTTTTAATAACCAACAGTACTAGTAATGAATAATTATATAATTCATTAGTAACAGAAAGATCTTTAAAATGCCTTTCGGTACTATTGGGATATTAATGATAATTAAAAATTTCACAAATATAACAGTGAACATTCAATTAATGAGGAGGAGTTACTGTTTGGCCTGAAGCCGCATCCCCAGCTATAGACCCCACTAGGCTACACTTGGCTCCCTGCGTTTACCCACATCTGGCCCTGGGTAATTCCCTGGAAGGTAATCAGTAAATATTGGTTCAACAAATGAGTGACTTTCACTGTGGCGCCGTCTCTTGTCTCTCTTGGGCGAGAACCCCTGTGACTTAGGCTGGGACCAACTCTGATGAAGTTACTTGCCTGAGCCCTGAGGATGGAATTCAGATGCCTTGATGGCCTGTGGTCTTCAGCCCAGGCCAGGCAGGTGCCTGTTTCCTATGCATCTGCTCTTCATCCCTTGGGTGGCATCGAGGGCATGGGGCGAGATGCCATGTCTGGTGGCTGCTGCACCCAGGTACCTGGGTCTGACAGATGCCACTGGGCCCTGCTGCTGCCACCTCTCCCTTCTAGTCTCATGTGACACCGACAGAAACAAAACAAACTAAATCGATTATCATAAGGTCACAGGTCTAGCCTGTGAAAGGCTAGACAAGACTTCACAGAAATTAGACTGCAGCCAAATGTAATTAAAATGGGTTTTGATAGAAATTGAGTATAATAACCCTGAGTGGTGATTCTTTTAAAATGGTTTCTGGTACATCACCCAGGACATAGGGTGAATGGCCCTGCTTTCATTTTCTCTCTTTTGTATTGCATCTATCTAACCCAGCATTGGGCAGCTATCATAGGCTAGGACAAAAGGAAGCCTAAGGCAGGGCTTGTTGCTGGGGCTTGGAGTCACCTGGATAGTCCTTCTGGCTAGATGGATGGTGTCTTAGTTCACCTACTACTACAAAATGCCATGAACTAGCTGGCTTAAACAACAAATATTTATTTCTCATTGTTCTGGAGGCTGGAAATCCAAGAGCATGGTGCTGACTGAATTGATTCCTGGCTGGGGCCAGGGGTGGGTGGGGGACTTTCCTCCTGACCTGTAGACAGACCCTTCTTCAGGGGTCCTCACATGACAGAGAGAGTGGGCTTTGCTCTCTTCCTCTTCTTAGAAGGACACATCCAATCATCGGGTCCCATCTTCATGACCTCATTTAAACCTAACACCCTCCTAAAGTTCCCACCTTCAAATGCATTCACACTGGTGGGGGGGTGGTGAAGACATCCACATAAGGACTGGGAGGGGGGGACATGGCAGATGGGAAAGGGCTCTTGGTAGCAGTAGGCCAGGGTTCTTGAATTCTCTCGCTCGTGGCTGCTCTTCTGTAGCCAGGGATGGAGAGGGGTGTTTTCAGGGACCTTAGACTATAATTGATACCAGGAAGTACTAGGAGGATCAGTCAGGGGTTGCCCTAGACCTGACTTTGAACACCAGCATTTATAGGAGAGCAGGCGAGTTACCTTGTGTGCTCACCACCCAGAATGCAGGCATAGCTCCCCTGTCCCTGCTGTCACCCTTGCCCTCCCACTGCACAGCAACCTGCTGTAACCTTGTGAGGCTCTCAGATCCACAGCCCCAGTGGTGGGGTTGTCTCAGAACCACATCCCTGGCTACCCAGGGGGCTCTGCAGATGACACTGGGCTCATGTCCTCTGCCAGTGATGCTTCATTTCACATCATTAAATTGACAGTTGAAGTGCTCAGTAAGTCTTCCAAAGACCCCTTTTTCTGTCACACCCTCTTCAAGAACCCACAGTGGGACAAATTGCCAAAGATCTGAACTTTTCATCCAATTGGTCAAATCCCTTCTCTCTTATTCTTATTGTCTTTCCCAGCCTTGTTTCTTTTCTTTTTAAAGATTTATTAAAAGATTTATTTATGCATATAAGAACTGGGGTGTAGGCCAGAGGTGCAGGGGGGTGAGAGGAGTCACCTGAGACAGAGTGGGGAGCAGAACAGGAAGATCTACTGAAATATACTGCTGAGGGGAGCAGTGGGCGAGACAGGAGAGGTCTGCTGTGCCATGTGGGTAGCTCCCTGGCTGGGGATCGAACTCACACTGCAGTGGCTGCTGATAGCTTGATAGTGCTGACTTTAACACCTGCGCCACCAGGAAGACCCAGCAGCCTTGTTTCTTAATTCTTTTTAATCATGAAATAAACGTTCAGTTACCGAACATAACAACTTAAGAAATAAGCAAGACACAATTACTATTGCAGGGCCCTCTCAGTGCTGGTGAGTAGGATCAGACAAACCTGGGAGCAGGGAAGGCAGCAGTTGAGCTTTGTACTTGAGAGCAAAGTTCAGGGCTGGGCAGACCCAAGGCAAATGCTGGCCCTGGACTTCCTTGCTGTGCACATTTGGGAGAATCATCCACCCTCTTAGAACCTCACCTTCCTCATCTGTAAGGAGGGGGTGACAGGAGTGTGTGTTGGGTCACCTCTGAGTGACTGTGCAGACTGAGGCAGTAGTGCTGTGATTGTCCTCACTTAACAACCTCCATTGTCTCTTGGAAACTGCACCTATAAGCAAAACGACAGATAACCAGTTTGACATAGGCTCATTGACATAAATGAGGTAAGCTCTTGCAGTATTTTTCTGTTCACAAAGCATCATCAAATTTCCAAAGAAACACCCAGTACACGTTTAATAGCAAACAATAATTTGCACTCATTCATTTTCAAATCTGCTTTTTTCCAGTTCTCCTGGCAGCTTGGGGTTCCAGATAGGATGCCCTTCCATTGCAGGGTGCTCCACTCACCCCTGCTGGGACTATTTAGACTATTTGGGATGTGGGAGAAAACCTAGTTCCTAGAGTTTTTATCATCTTGGATTTAGAATACAGAGATGGGTTCCAGGAGGGCGGTTTCCCTCTTCACCCCCTGGGCAGCCTGGAGAGTTGTCAAATCCCAGATCTGGGTAGGGAATACATCTCCCTTGCTGACTGATGGGGTGCTTGGTGGATTTCAGGTGCTCGTCCTGGCTGTGAAGCAGCTGTTTCCAGAGTTTGAGTTCATGTGGCTGGTGGATGAGGCCAAGAAGAATCTGCCTTTGGAGCTGGATTTCCTCAATGAAGGGAGAAATGCTGAGAAAGTGGCCCAGATGCTCAAGCACTTTGACTTCTTAAAGGTAGAGGGCCGGGGGAATGGGGGCTTAGTGGTTTGGTAGAAGAGTACAGGTTCTAGTCCTGAGTACCCCGCACTCCCCTTCCTGCCCCTCAAAGGACTGGAATGGGGGCATCTGCTTCAGAGCCTTCTCTTTGAGGGTGAGTGATTCTCCTTGGTGATGCACATGAGCGCCCTTGAAGGCTACTTTACAAAGTAATACCACATGCAGTTGTTGGCCTGTCAGTCAATCACACAGATGTTTATTGAATGATCTATAATTGCTAGACACTTAGCATCACCCAAGGGCCTGTAAGCCACAGTCTCTGCCTCCATGAGGCTGCATGATAATGCTGACATGCAGTGGTGGTGGTGATTGCTAACTCTTGAACTCGGGCACCTTTCTAACATTTTATGTAGATTATGCATTTATGCATTTAATATACAGTGAGCTCCACTATTTATATAGCAGATGTGTTCTATACATAATTGTACAACAAAGATCAAAGGGCTGGGCCTCCCTGGTGGTGCAAGGGGTTGAGTCTCAGCACTATGAAGCAATCTGCAGCCTCTGCAGCAAGAGTTCGATCCCTGGCCAGGAAGCTACCCACATGGTGCAGCAGACCTCTCCTTTCTCGCTCGTTGCTCCCCTCAGCAGTGTATTTCAAAGTCAGTCTGCCTGTTCTGCTCCCCACTCTGTCTCTGGTGAATCCTCTCACACTCCTGCACCTCTGGCCTACACCCCAGCTCTTGTATGCATAAATAAATAAATCTTTAAAACAAAAAATTACAGGACTTATGGGGAAGATGGGATCAGGCTTACAATACACAAAAAACATCACCCAAGTGCATAGCACAAAATGAAAGAGCATTCTGCTCTCTGGCTGTATTCACAGAGACGGAGTGGCAGAATGTGTCCACACTAACCACCCAAGAATCTTAAAGCTCAAATCCACAGAAGGAGAAGCCACAGCAGTGGTGATCATTGGAGTGTCTCCACACGTTGGTTTTGGTGGGAGGTATGACTCCTGGTGACACTTAGCTCTTTGAGTGAGTTGGGAGCCAGCCTGTCTAGACACCCCCAGTACTGTGACTGGCTATTCCTTGGCTGCCATCATAGCCGTGTACCCTGGACCCTCTGTGTGTGTCCATCCAGACATGCAGACTAGATCTCGTCACCCTGTCCCAGCCTTGAAGTTCCAACCACCAATTAATTGAAAACTTGGTTCTCTCAGACAAGTAATGACAACACATTAGCCTAATGCTGTGAAATCTTAAATATCTTTCCACGAGCATATTCCATTTCTTCCATCCCTTCATTCCACATATACGAGGCCTTTCCTAAGCCTGTTGCTATGTTAGGAGCTGGGGGTTGTTTTGATGGGAAAGAGATGGTTGGCCCCAGCCTGGGCAGACTTTCTATCTCTTGGGGTGACTGCTGTTACAGTGCAGATCATTATATTTGGAGAGTGACTTGTGGATGTTTCTGTGATGCCCAAGAGGAAGCACATAATTTCAACCCAGAATGTGGAACTCAGAGAGGGCTTCTAAGATGTGTTGATTGTACCAAGGGGTATGTGATCTGCCGAATGTCTCTTCTACTGAACTGAGCAGTATCCAGGCCTAAGACACGGATCCTGTTTTCAGAGATGGCAGTCTTAGAGCAGAGAAGAGAACACTACAACCCAGCTTTTCCAACCTGGACGCTGGTGCTCATCTAAGGACATTCTCCTGCCTCTTCCCCGGCAGGGATCTCCTTGGAGCTAGAACTCTGAGCCAGACATACAGCACCATCTCCTCCACTGTTCCCATGGAAACAGCAAAATTGTCCCCTGGCTCGGGCCAACTAGCGTCGGCAGACCAAGACATGTAATAATAACAATAACACACATTTTTGAAATGAGGATGCCAAATGGGTAAATAATTAATGTAACAATTTGACCTGCTGCTTCAAAGCCTGCACACCATTCCTAAGACAGTCGTGGAATTAAGGCTCCTGGGTAATTAATTTTGCCTAAACATGTACAAACGGGAAGCAAATTTTGCACGGTGAACCTTGTTCAGCTCTTAAAACTGGAGATAGATTGTTTTGCACACTGGCACCCCTTCACAACATCTGTGCGTCATTAAGCCTCAGCGAAGAGTTTACCTCTCAGTGTGTGAGGCATCTTCCAGTGGGGTTTCATAACCTCAGCCCTGTGCCATAAATCTCTGAGCCAAGGGCTGAATGCAAATGTGGTGTTGGGGAGACTGAGAGAGGCGAGGGAGCAGCTAGGCCCATCAGTCAAGACCAGGCCACTTGTGGGTCTGATAGCAGATTGTGTGTATGTGCTGGGGGGTGTTTGAGAGGGAGACAGGACAAGTGGTGAGGGTTGTGATGGCACAGGGGTGGCTGGGACAGGGCACGAGGGAGAAGCATGCCCCCACAGGGTTTGGGACCGGGAGACATGAAGTTATCTGTACGGAGTTCGGGGTGGGGGTGTCATCACCTGAGCAGAGCCACGCTGGGATTTATTTCTCAGTGCCAGGTAAAACATTAGGACTCCCCAGAAATCGTGGACCACTCTTTCTGAGTGGATGTACATGCTTTCGGAGAAACACCAGAGCTTCCTAAGAGTCACAAAAATGAGGAACCACTTAATCTCAAAGGTTAATAATGATGAGGTCTGAATGGTAGGAATATAAACCTGGGAGGCAGAGAGGTTTGTCCTGTGGGCTCAGGAGGACTGCTCCCTTTGGATGGATCATAGAAGTGTTTACTCGGAAATGATTACAAAATGCAAACCTGTTCCTGCTTGGTTTGGAGCAAAACTTGACATGATGACATGACACGGGGCCACGAGGGTGAGTGAGTGACTTGTCCCTAAATCACTGTGTGGTCAGGAAGGCTGGGGTATGTACGATAACTGGTAATCATTAACATTTTTACATGTTTACACTGTCTTAGACACATTTTAAAGTGCTTTACATGTATTTACTCTTTAATCCATAAAACATTCCCACAGGGAGGTGCCATTCTTAGCTCTCCATTGCCAGTGGGGAAACTGAGGCCCAGAGAGGTAAGGGCGCCTGGCCAGAGGTACATAGCTTCTGGATAAGAGATGGAGGCAGGCTCTGAAGGGGCAGCCTGACTCCAGGCCTGTATGCTAAGCCACCAAGCTGTTCTGCCTTCATGGCCATTTGAGGGTGAGGTCTGCTCTGTGCGGGCCTCCAGGCAGCGCTCTTTCAGCCCTGATGTGTCTGAACCCCCGGGAAGCTGCATGGCGGTCAGATGGCAGCTGATATTTTTCCGGCAGGTGCTAAGTGTCTGCTGCTGTCTCAAGCACCAGGACTCCAAGGGAGTGTTGCTTCCTAGTAAATGGCATCACCATTTTCCAGGTGGGGAAACTGGCACTCAGAGAGGTTATTACATTTACCTGTGGTTACACAGCTTGGATGGAGGTGGCAGAGTCAGGGCTCCAGTCTGATAGTCTGATTGTGGGTCTGTGTTTTGCTTCTCTTGGCTCCTGTTATGGGGGGACTGTGGCCCTGAGTGGAGGCCACTGGCCAGGGCCTGTCTCATGGGCATGTTGACAAGGGACAGGAGCAAAGTGGAAGCACAGGTACAGGGGCCAGGAACTAAGGCTTCAGGTTGTGCCCTCCTTCTTGAGATCAGGATTGGCTCCAGTGTAGAGGACAAGTGGAGCCTGGAGGTAGACCCTGGACCCATAGGTCCTGATGTCCAGTATATGACCCTACCTGTGGGGTCACCAGGTGCCTTGGCCATCAGCCTTCCAGGGTTTAGTTTTGCTTGGCAGGGGGTGACAGTGGGGGCTGGTTCTTCTTATTGCCTCGTTGAAATTTTTCTTTCATCTTATATTCTTTTTATTTTTTTGTGGGACCCTCTCTGGCGGCCGGGAAACGAACCGGCTCTGCAGAGGCTGCGGGCAGCCTTGCAGCCCAGCACTCAACTGCTGCGCCACCAGGGGAGGCCCTCATCTTATATTCTTTTTTTTTTTTTTTTTTTTTTTTAATAGAGGCATGCTTTATTTATTTGTTTGCTGGTTTGTTTGTTTTGTTTATACATGCACTGGGTACAGTCAGAAGCGCGGGAGGGTGAGAGAATTCACCAGAGGCAGAGCGGGGAGCAGAGCAGGCAGAAGGACCGAAGTACACTGCTGAGGGGAGCAGCGGGCAGCAGGAGAGGTCTGCACGCCATGTGGGACCCTCCTCTGGTGGCCGGGGAGCAGCCGGGGATCGAACCGGCGCCGCAGAGGCCGCGGGCAGCTTCGCAACCCAGCGCTCAACCGCTGCGCCACCGGGGAGGCCCCTCATCTTATATTCTTTTGATAAAAGTTGGGGAAGCAACTATGGGAAAATGTTGGTGTTCTGGGGAAGTGAATTTCACCTTGTATCCCCAACCCTACTGCCCACACAGTGAATTAAGGACAAAGCACTTGACCTCATGTCCCCATGTCAGGTTGCTCCTAACTAAGCAGGAACAGGTTTGCATTTTGCAACCACTTCGGGGTAAGCATTTCCTTCCTCCATCCATGGACAGCAGGCCTCCTGGGCCCCCATGAGAAACCCCTCGCTCTCCCAGGTTTGCTATTTCTGCCATTTCAGATCTAAGCAGAAACAAGAGACACATTTGGTTGTCAGACTAGGATGGCTGCACATGGAGGGAGCCTTGGGGAGAAAGCTGGAGGAGGGAAACCAAGCACACCCCCGAGGCTCGTTAACAATACCAGAGAGTCCCCAGCCTTTGGGTTTTCTCTTCCCATCTGAGGCACTTTCATGGCTGTTTTCCAAGTCACCCCAGGCAGACCCAGATAGGGGTCTGACCTCTCATCTCCAGAACCCCAGGTGCCCACTGCCAAACTTTGGTTTCCAAACAAGTACAAGGGAAGAACTTAACCCAAATTATATTCCTTCTATTTGGAAGCCCTGAACAACAACGGCAAACTTGCACTCGTATTTTTAAAGATGCTTTTGGAAAAATGCCAAGGAAGACTGAATGCCAAGCTCACAAAGTTAGCAGAGCTAGGAATAGGAAACCAGCCTCTTGACTTGAGGGCCGTTCTCTTACAGCTGGATGAGTTTTGTGGGTTGGTATGAGGGAAGTCCTATTTCCCAAAACATTTGGATTAGTTGCTCATGTTTCTTTATTTGTAAGTGGAAATAAACCCATCAAATTTTTTTGGAAACGTGGCATGTTAAAGGCCCAATAATTCCTTGCTCCTGGCGGTGATGGTGGAGAGGAGTGTTGTTCATTCATGTGGCAGCCCAGCAGCCCTGGGCTGCCCAGTCCCCTGCCTACTGCTGGGAAAATCTGTTCTCTTTTTGACGACTGGGTGTTCTGAGAGTCAGAAGGTGTTGAAAAATCTATCAGTTAGGAGTGCATTTGTTCTATTGGTAAGTGAAAGCCCAATTTAGAGTGTCTTAAAAAGGGTTTATTTTCCTCACATAGCAAAATGCTTGCAGCAGTCACCTGCTGATTTTGTCTTAATAGCCTGACAATCTCAGGACTGACAGCTTTGTGATTTTCTTGGATTTTTCCTCATGGTTGCAAAATGACTGCTGCTGCTCCGGATATCACATTCATTCTTAAGGCAGGAAGAGAAGGGTGAGAAGAGTTGTGCTGTCTACAAACGTTCTTTTTTTTTTTTTTTTTTTTTAAGATTCATTTATTAATTTATACAAGCACTGGGTGCAGTCAGAAGCGTGGGAGGGTGAGAGAATTCACCGGAGCCAGAGCGGGAAACAGAACAGGCAGACCAATGAAATACACTGCTGAGGAGAGCAGTGGGCATGGCAGGAGAGGTCTGCGTGCCATGTGGGACCCTCGCTGGCGGCCGGGGATTGAACCAGCACTGCAGAGGCTGTGGGCAGCTTCGCAGCCCAGCGCTCATCCGCTGCGCCACCAGGGGAGGCCCATACAAACATTCTTTTTTATCAGGACAATAAAAACCTAGCAGACTGCCACTATGTCTCATAAGCCAGAAAGGATTGTGTCACATCTATTGCATGGCGCAGGGAAAGTATGTATTTTTTTAGTTGTCTCTGGGGATGAGGAGGATTTGGACTAGGTGTTACGCTAGGATTTAGCATTGTCTGCCACAAGGTGCTTGTAGGTAGTGGGCATGAGAAAACTTATGACTATCTGATTTAAAAAATTATCATTCAGCAAAAATACCTACCTACCTATGTACATACAATACACCCATCACACAGATGTAGAGTTTGAGACAGAGGGTTGAGATTTATGTGAAGAGTCTAAAACGGGCCTGGTGAGAAAGGGAAAGAGCTTTTAATACCAACTCTGGCTTGTGTATGAGGATTGCTACTCATTTTCCCTCAAGAACCCGTTTTAGTTTTGGCTCTGGAAGTCTGGAAGCTTCTGAGGATCAGGGCGGGAGGCCATACTCTTGTCCCAAGCAGAAGGGGTCAAGGACCCAGCTGGCCAAGCCGGAGCAGACTGCCCCGCCTCCCTTTCCCCGCCTGTCACTCCTGAGGCCCCTCGTGGGCCTCTTCTCTCTTCCTGGGAGGAGCGTCTGCTGCTGTCTGGCTTGCTGTGCCTCTGTGGTCCTTGATTCCGGCTCCTTGCCTCCCTACTCCTTCTGACCTGCCCTTTCTGATTCCAGGTCCCCCGAATCTACTGGGATCTTTCCACCAAGCGAGTCCTTCTGATGGAGTTTGTGGACGGCGGGCAAGTCAACGACAGAGACTACATGGAGAGGAACAAGATTGATGTCAATGAGGTGAGGGCAGGGCCAGGGAGCCGGGCGTGGGCAGCTTGCCCAGCAAGGGCAGTGTGTCCAGGTGGGCCCCACCACCTTGAAATGGGGGCTGCTGCCTGAGCTATCATCAAATCCCTGAGCACAGAGACTCCTCCACATCATCTAGTGCAAGCCTCTGCCCCGTCTCTAAAGCTGGAGCTGGGGTACACAGCCGGTGTGCAGGGACTCTCGGCATCTGCCTGCAGCGCCTGCCTGGACAGTGAGCACCGTGCCGTCTCAGAGCTGCGTGGCCACGGAGAACAGTGGTGCAGAATCAGTGGGACTTAATCCTCTGCCCTATGGGGCCCAGACACAACCTCCTCCCTTCTCCTGTCCTCCCCTCTTCCTGCCACATCCCAGAACTCTAGGTATTGGGCAAAAAGGGGCCAGAAGTAGGCAGCCATATTTGCTTCGTGGAACTAGGAAAGAAGGGAGGGCTTGGGTCTCTCACCCCATTGGTGTCAGGGAAAGCCAGCCGGTGAGGTAAGGCCTGTACCCCATTTTCTTGGTTGCCACAGGGCCCCACAGGTGTACTTAGTGCTTTTTTAACCAGTGCTTTTTTAACCAGTCATTTTTAGAGTCCCTACTCTCTGCTAGATGTGGGGGCTGTGGGGTAAGCAGACACAGTTCCTTTCTTTAAGGACTTCATACCTAGCTCTGGAGTGAGACATAACGGCATCCTTTCAGCCACCTCTTGGGCAGCAGGAGGAATGATGAGACCCCAGGCAGTGGGAGGAAGATGCGCTTACTCTGCCACAGGTCAACTTCCTTGGCAGCAGCAGCAGGAATTTGCCAGGGGCGGAGGAGTTGGGAGGTGCAGATGGCACTGCAAGGAAAGGGCAGGGCATGGTGAGGTTTGGCCGGGTTGGAGGCAGGGTTTCCAGGGGACTGTGGCGGGCGGTGAAGGCCTTGTGATGGCGTGACCCGTCACTCTCGTTGGGTGGGAGGATTGAGTGGAAAGGACCAGCCCCATTGGAAGGGATTGCTCGTCCCTGCTCCTCCCCAGGCCGCCCATGAGTGAGCTTGTGGTATCAGTGGCGGGAAGACCCAGAGGAGAAGGACACGCCTTGGCTTAGCAGATGAGCCAGGTGGAACAGCAGGAGAAGGTGCAGGGGTGAGCCCAGGCCTCCGGTGCCCGTGTGTCCTCTGTTCAGGGGGCTGATGATAACCTGCCTCTGAGGGTTTTGTGCTCACCCGAGTTAGTTCACAGACAGTGCTTCGCACAGCGCCTGGCACGTGCTTGATGCTCTGAAATGGCAGCAGGGTTGTCATTGTTTTCATTCTTAATTTTGGGTTGTATCTTTTCCCCCACCTCTTTTTTTTTTTTTTTTAAAGATTTTTTATTTATTTATACAAGAACTGGGGTACAGTCAGAGGTGTGCGAGGGTGAGATGATTCACCAGAGACAGAGCAGGGAGCAGAACAGGCAGACAGACTGAAGACACTGCTGAGGGGAGCAGCGGGCGAGGCAGGAGAGGTCTGCTGTGCCATGTGGGTTTCTCCCTGGCCAGCCAGGAATCGAACCCGCACTGTGGAGGCTGAGGACAGCTTCACAGCGCTGCGCTCAACCTGCTGCACCACCGGGAGTGTTTTATCTTCTTTTTCTGGGAATGTTTACTGAATGCTGAGCTCCCTATGCTGGGCCCTTTTCTCCAGTATAAACATGGGCAAGAGGTCTTATTCTCTACAATTTGCAGATGAGAAATCAGAGACTCAGAGAAGGGAGGTAGCTTGCCTGTGGTCACTCAGCTAGTAGAGAGGTCTGCTAGGTCTACTAGCTCAGGTCTCTGACTCCACCGCTCCCCTTGGGCCATAAAAGAAGGGATTGTATGGAAGGGTCTGGAGCTGCTGCAGGAACAAGGCCTCAGTTTAGGGCTTACCCACGGTTGGCCTGGGCCTCCTGCAGGCAGCTCTTGTCACCTGCCTTAGGGAATGGTGCTCTAAGAACCCTTTGGATGCTTGGGGTGTGTGTGTGTGGTAGAGTGGGGAGTCTGGACAGGTGCAGGGTCCCCCTGCTACCCCCAGGAAAGCTTGGCCATCACCTGAGTTGCCCATCAAGTTTCCCACTGCTGAGAGGAAAGGAGATGCAGGCTGTTCCAATTCGGCCATCCCCTTTCAGATAGGAGAGGAGCTCAGAGGAGGAGCCCGTGCCTTTCCCAGGGCCCCCTGCCAGCAGCCATTGGCCTCCCTCACTGGTGGCTTCCAGGGCAGCTGTGAGTGTGCCTGGGCAGAGCTACCCACAGGGAGGGGAGGCATAAGACCTGCTTGGCCATTTTTCTGCTGTTGGTTAGGGTGGGCATATGCCCAGGCATCTGGCCAGGGATCCTTTGCCCACCCACTTGAGGACCCTGGAAATCAAAGTCTTTGGCTCCAGTGGGAAGAAAAGGAGAGGAATGGTCACTACTAACTTTCTGAACAACTTGAACAACTTGAAAGGGGAGCAGGGTCTCTCTGCTTGCTGGTTAGGAAAGCTCCCAGGGACCCGCTGCCCCCACCCCCTGCCAGGTAATTGGCATTTGCTTACTGCTAGCTGCAGTGGGAGTTTCATTCCGGCAGCACCCCCAAATCCATTAATCTCTTTGGATCCTGTAAGTCCAGGACTGTAATGGTGTTTAATCAGAGGCAGCTTTGATTTTCAAAGATCATGAGCTCCAGCGTTGCTTGCTCATGGTTGAACAAGTGGCTTGGGAGAGGTGGCGGGTGTGCTGGAGGTGAGAGATGGGCAGGGTAGCCCTCTGAGGGCCTGACTCATCTGCTCCTCGCTAACCCCCTCTTCTAACTGCCTTGCAGAGCAGACCCTTGGTAGACTTCCTGTGAATTAATGGATGGATCAGCAAGCCAGCCTCATGCCCTGGGTTGGCTTCTGTGAGGCAGGACTGGGCTAGAATGTTGATTTTTCGTTTCTGTGCATATGCAGAGCAGGTCAGGCTGACAGCAGAGTGATTTGGAGATAACAATAACAACTAAAATAATAATTAGAAGCAACCAGTATGTGCCAGGCATGTGACACACATAATTTCTCTGCTTTACAGCTGTTCTGCCAAAGCTATACATTGTTAACCCCATTTATAGGCGAGAAAGCTAAAGCTCAGAGAGGTTACACTGCTTGCCAAGCATCACACAGCTAGCAGGGTCAGAGCCGGCATCTGAACCTAGTCTGCATGGCTTCATGAATTCTCCTCCACCCTCTCCACCTGCCTCCCAGGGATCTGCCTTTGGCTGAAGTGGGACCTGGAGCCACATCAGTAGCATCCTGAGGTGGAAGTTGGAACACTGAGCAGTTTTGCCAAGCACCCAGGGCACGATCTGAATGCAGCCCTTCTCTCTCTGGCTTACCCCGAGGGTGGTCTTACCCATTTCATACTTTGTTCCATTTTACAGAGATGTCATGGGACTCTCTGACAGGGTGTGCTAGCTGGGGATGTCTTTAGTGCCCAGGATGGCCATTCAGTGTCACTGGACCTGTCCTTTCTCCTCTTCCTTCTTTCCATTAACCTTCAGCCCTGTCTGGCTCCTGCCTCAAACTTAGGAGGGAAGTCTTACTGCGTCCATTTTGCAGATGATGAGTCAGAGCCGCAGAGAAGAAAGGTCGCTTGTTGAGAGTCAGGCTTGTACTGGTGCACTTCTGTGTTGCCACACAGATACTCCACGTGATCACCAGCCAGATAAAGTGCAGAGCATTTCTGCCCTTGCAGGTGCCTGCTTGCTCCTACCAGGGCCTCTGCTCATCTGACTTCTGCCATTATTGTTTTCACTCATTACTAAACCGGCATCTTTGCTCGTCTTCCCCGGAAGCTCTGTTCTCGTCCATCGGTAGAGATGGAATGTAGTAATACCACACTGTCTTACTTCCTTAGGTCCCTGTCCTCTGCCCTGGCTGTTAGGGTTGGCATGACTAGGGGAAGCTCTTTGGTGTTCTGAGATGATATCATTAAACACTTCATTCCTCAGAAAGCTGAGGCCTCATAGTGGTAGGACAGTGGGCTGTGGGCCATAGCTCTGCTGTGCTAACCATTGATGATGTTGGGAGTGAACTCGGGACAGGGCTGACTTTGCAGAAATCAGTCTGTCATGTCTCTGACCACCCACCATCAAAGCCACGTGTAGCGTGTAAACGACTCCATGTTGCTGACAGTTTCTAGCAGACATCTGAGGTTCTGAAGTCTCCCTAGCACTGCGGGGCTCAGGAAACCAGGCCCTGGAATGACTGTCCCTCCCAAGAACAGCCTGGCTCTGAGTGTTCCTTGGGAAGGGAAGTACAGGGGCATATGGGAGTGACAGCGGGCTAAGATCTCACCCCAACCATTTTGGGGGGTTATTAGTGGCATCTTGACTGTGATGAGTTGGGGGCTCAGCAGGAAATGGCACTGGAAGAAATAACTCCCAAGGGGCTGGCTCAGACCCTCCAGCCACCTGCTGAGTCATCCTCACTCCACTTTGAAGAGACCCCCTCCTCACCTCACTGCATCCCAGCACCGCAGGACCATGAGTCAGGGAACCTGACCACCAACCAAGCTATGTCGTCAGTTCCTGATACTCAGGTGGAGGAACCCCAGGTTAGGGGGCAACAGACCTGGCTTCTTGTCCCAGCTCTGCCAGTGGCTTGCTGTGTGACTTTGGACTAGTCACTTCCCTCTCTGGGCCTCAGTATTCTTATTAAAGATGTTAGATTAGCTGGGCTCTGAGGGTCCTTCCTGCTTGTATATTTTGTAGAACAGTGATTCTTGGCTTGTAGGCAGCTAAGACTTGAACCATCTGTGTCAGAATCACCAGGGGGAGCTAACTTAATAATGCTGATTCCTGGGCACCATTCCAAATTTGTTCATCTATATGTGGGGTGGGAAGGGTTGCTGGGAGTTGCTAATCTACATTTTAACTAATTTTCCAGGTGATTCAGACACTCAGTAAAGCCTAGGAACCACCTCACAGGCCAGAGGGCACTGGGCCCCGGAGCCAGCGGCGTGCAGGGGCCCTCATCTGTT